GATATTGGTAAAAATATTTTCAAAATATGATAAATATTCAATGTGAATTTCAGCTTATAATACTGACTATCATCAAAAACAAATATTGATAATAAATTATTTTAGAAATATCAAACAAAATTCAACATTAAAAATTCCAAAATATATAAACCACAAAAAACATTTGTTTAACAATATGTCAAACACTAGAATAAATTATTTTCATATTTTACATATGAATATGGGCTCCTTGACATTCTGTAACTTTCATTAATTGTTTTCCTGATGATTTTGTTAGGGTTTTACTGTTTTGACTTGTAGATTATTTTCAGCATTTTTTTTTAATTGGTTACCAAAGATTTTCTTTGCTTGAATATTTCCAATTCTAAGAGACCAATTCTTTTAATGATGAATCAAAAGTTTTCAAATGGATTAATATCTGTAGAGGCTGGAAACCATTCCATTTCTTTTATCTGTTGCCTTTGAGACCATTTATGTCAAATTGGACAATAGTCAGCTTTTCAGATAGTGAACGAGCATTGCTTTGCATGAACATTTTCTTAGTTTAAAGCTTCTTGGTTGTGACTTGTACGACTCAAAAAAAAAATATATATATATAAGTACAAATATCAGTTACTATACTATAAAATATCTGTTTGTTTACAATATGATGGGCAACCCTTGAGTTGCATAACTTAATCTTACACTAAGTTACTGTAAATCTTTTTGATAAAAAAGATGAGCTGAATTTCATATTGTATATCATCTTAATATATGCTAAAAATTTTACCAACAATTTTATTATGAAAACATTGACTTGCATAATAAAATCTGACATAGTGTAGCAAAGTTTCATCTTTTCTAGTTTTTTTTTTTTTTTTTTTTTTTTTTAATTCATTTAAATTTTTCTTACCTTTCTTTCTTCCTCTTCCCCATTCTGCTGTCAGGAAGCAAGTATTAAATTGATATAGATACCAGGATTTAATTTTTTTTTTTATAGTGAGATGGTGATGAATCATGATTTAGTTGAACTTATACAGACTTCTTTTCATTAATATTTCTTGTATTATTATAATTATCAGCTTTATATTCAAAAATCTGTTGAAGGACAAAAATGGATTTGTTGGGAATTGTAGACAAAGGGTTTATTCAATAATTTTAGGATGTCGTTTTTTTGTTGTGTTTTTTTTTTTTATAGCTATCCAAATATTTTAAAAAGAAAAATAATATTCTCAATGATGAGGACATAGTTTGTAATTATCTCCTCAACATATAGAAAGGATGCAATTGATCTGATTTTAATATTTTATATTAAATGTTGACTACACTATCTTCAAATGTTTTATCAAGTTATTTATACTATTTACATTGTCCGGACATTTGTCCTCATCTTTATTGCCATATTCACAACGTTTTCAGCCATTGTACGCTCTGGCCTTCTTCAGGTGATATATGTTGGAATTTCAAACAGAACCCTTTTAGTCCACAGGTGTAGATTGTTCTAATTCCACATGCCATACCTGTTTTGGATATCTCCGTTTCAATTACGAAATAGAATTAACTGAAACTGAGATATCCGAAAAAGGCATCACACGTGGAATTAGAACAATCTACCCCCACATACCAAAGTAAAGCCTTTGGTTTAAAATTCAAACATATCACCCAAAGACAGTAGCAGAAACATTGTGAATATCATAATAAACATGAGGACAACAATCTGAATGATGTAAATAGTTACAATACCTAATCTCAAAAATATAGACAGATATTTTATCAAGTTACTTAAAAATACCGAGCTATAAAAATACTCAAATACTTAAATAAATGATTTCAACTCTTATGATAGAACTGGTTTTAATATACTTTCATCATAGTTCAATGAATGGCCCAAGTTAAAGGGGAAATAACTCATTTTATATCTGCTGAATTGTTAAGTTAATGCTTCTGCTAAATCTGCCATGAAGATGTTGAGCCCAGGAGAGCCACATTGTCCCTCCAGCTCTCATGGTCTTGACAGAGCATTGACACATCCTCCAGTGCCAGATTAATCTGATGGTGGTCCTAGCAGAGGACAGGTTTCAAGTTGTCACTAGTTTGCTGATGGCAGGTCGAACTGGTAGATTATAATACAATAATTTCAATAACTTTTCTTGAAAAACTGATTTTTTTTTCTTTTTCTTGGTTCGGAAATTTATATAATCACCAAGTACAATTGCAATCTTATATTTAAAATTGTTTAATGATTTTTTTTTAATTTAATTATTCTATCCATGATTATTCCTAATGTAATCTTCTGTTTTGAACTGCCAATTCATCAGGCCCAGCACCTTTTGCTTGCTTTCCTCTCGTTTTTCATTATTTATGGCTTCTTGAAAAGGGATCAGTTTGGTTTCCTTTTTCATTTTCCCTGTCTTCAGATTTTGTTTGTTTTTGTGGTTTGTTTTTGAAGAATTTTTTCTTCCCTTCCTTTTGTTTTTTTTTTTTTTTTTTTTTCCTGCTGCTTTTTTTGTTCAAATTTAAATTTTGTGTTTCCCTTTTACTTTTTTTTTTTCTTTGCACTGATTCACTTCTGGGTTTCTTGTTTATTCTTTATTTTTTGTTTCTCATCTTTTGCATCACTTGCCAGTTACAAGCTGCCATCTTTTCAGCTTTTTTCATCCTGTCTTCATTCAAACTTTGAAACATTTTTTAGTCTATAACTATTTTGCTAATGGATTTTTTTTTATTTTAAATATATATATATATATATATATATATATATATAGCTTTGTAGTAGGAAGATAGGACTCCACCTTTTTACTATAACTTTTCAATATTTATAAACATTAACTAAATCATTAATGCCAGCCTTAGCTATTATACTTGGTTGTTTGTTCAGATCCTACCAATAGTTAGTTAAAATTGTTTATATAAAATAATTTTGCACATATTAATGTTAAAAAATTAAAACTTTTATTAGTTTCTAAGATTACCTTTTTGTTTTTTTCTTTCAAACATATATTCTGATAAATAATTAAAAAAAAAAGTTGCTAGCTTTGTAATGAGAATAATCAGTCTAACATTTGATTAATTTTGAATGATAATGATTTTTGCCCCTCTTTAGTGGTATTTTATAATTCAGTCCAAATAATTAAAAATTTTTTTTTCTTTTTTCAATTGAACTTTTATGAGTGATCCTTTTAATATTAATATGAAACGATTAGCATTAAGTTGTTAGTACCAATTCCGATCATAGAGAAAGTTTGTATGGCATATTTTAAATCTAGATTGATAATAAAGATGATCATATTGTCCAAAAATAAACTGATTTCTCTGAGATTGTTTTTTATAGAAAAGAAAAAGATAAAAATTCACGTATTTCTAACTAAATTCATTTCTTTAATGGAAGCATTTTTTCTTATGTAAAGACTGAAATCTGTAAACAATTATTTTGCTTTTTGGGGATATTAAAATCTTAGTTATTAAATGGTTCATATCCATACTTTTTCTGCTATGAGTCAATGTTTAATGTTTTAAGTCATGTTAAGATTTTACTTATCTAAGCAATAGAGGATTTGACTTTAACAAGAATTATGCATTTTGTTATAAGTATTTCTGACTTAGTACCACTTATAGTTAATCTGTATATTTTTAAAACCATCACAACCAATTAGACATTATTTGATGATGATGCAAATAAACATCAAAATATTAACAAAACTAATTCATTATATAAGGCAATTTATGAAAAATTCTTGGCCTAACTAAAAAGCCATAAAAAAAAATTCTTATGTTTGGTATTTGGTCAGATTTTGGGAAGTGAGCCAGGCCGAGAACTTTTCAGCACCCCATATTCCTCCAGATTCTGTTTGCTGTTTTATTTCCCTGATTAATCAAGAATGAAATATTTATACCAACATTAATTTTTTTTTTTTTTTTTTTTTTTTTTTTTTGTTGCTTTTGATGATTGATGACATCCACTTTGATTGCAAAACTTGAAATTCTGATTAAATTATTCTACTTCCATATTGTAAAAGAAACTAAAAATCATAATAGCTGGCATTTTTGGAAAATATTATAAAATTTGAAATAGCTTTTCCATATTTATTACATTGATAATCACATCTATATAAACAAGATGTACACTTGAACTCATATGACAACATCTCGAGCCCATCTGACACATAAATTGTATTTCAATGCTTTATATAAATATTAGAAATTGATAATTGATACTATGGCTCACTATAGATAATTGCTTTTATTCTCTGTTAAGTTTTTGTCTCTCTCTCTCTCTCTTCCCTGCCCTTATTTTTCTCACTCTAGACTGATGTAAATTTTGTGTTTTCTTTATTTAGGATCTTGTCCACATGTTGGAAGTATAGGTAACACAAACTTGAATCAGGAGAAAAATAAAAGAAAAAAAAATATATATCAAATTCATCACTAATGAAAAAAAAATCATAACTCATTAGTCATCATATGTACATATCCCTCCCTACTCACCAGTTTTACCGTCCATAACACTAAATTTTAGATTTTAGTTTTAAATTGGCAATAATTTTTAACCTGCCAGATTTTGATATGTTTTTTTTTTTTTTAATTCTTAAATTAACCGTCCAATGTCCTTTACTGGATTCACTTAAGAATGTATTACCAAACAAATTTTTGTATTACACATTCAAGTAAGGGGTTGAGCATACAGAAAATATTTTTCTCTCTTCTAATTTAACCTAGAGCTTATCAAATTTATCACCTCAAAGAGTTTCAAGTGGTGATGGCTGTTTTGGGGGTCATTGGCTTCAGTATAATTTTCAAATTTATTAGAGCTTTTTTTTTTTTTTTTTTTTTTTTTTTTTTTTTTTTTTTTTCTCCTCTACTAAAGATTGTTTACCCTGGAGAATATGCTCTAAAAAATCTATTCAGATATTGTTTCAAAATAAACTTGAAAACAGTTTAATAAATATTGAAGAAATTCATAGTCCACTTGCTGGTCATTTAAAGAGATAAAACCTACAGAATTAGACACAATACTGGGCCATATGCAGTATCCATTAGTTGCCATTCCTTCAACTTGTGATAGAAATAATTTAAAAAAAAATGTCTCTTACTTTTTATCGTCTATGAGGTTCTCTCTGGCGCAATATCTTAAGCTGAAGGAAATGGCACCGTCTTGAAACCCCTTTTACTTTTCCTTCTCCACAATGGTACATTGATCTGGAATTTCTTTATAGCCATCAGAAATTATTTAGTCCATATATATTTATTATACAAACTCAAGACCACAATAAACTTTGAATTTGTTACTCATAAACCACTTATAACGGATCCCAAAATTCTCTTCTATCTACTTACATTTCTAATGCATTTGTTTTTTTGTGTGAAAAACTCCTGCATAATTACCTTGTAATAAAATCCTACAAAGAACAAATTTAGCTAGACTTGTTATTTCAATGCTTTTTTATTTATAACAACAATTGTGGTGTGATGTTGAGCTGTGCAAGTTATAGTAACAATTTAAACTAGTTTATAACCATGTGGTAAACATTTGTAATTTATTCTTGTTAACAAAGTTGTATCCCTTTTTTTATTTGGCCTGGAATCTGTTTTATTCCTTGCTTTGTTATTGACTAACAATTTTCTTTTTAACTGTTAATCAACTGCTAAGAACAACTAGTTAATAGAAAAATGTAAAACTATCTTAAAGCAACTTTGTGTGTTTTGTATTTGGCATATTCTTTAAAATATGCCTACAAAATATATTAACTATTTAGTATTTCTCCCTCTCTCTACTAAATGAACTAGGACAGGAAAATTGGTTTAAGTGACATTATTACATATTTTCAAGAAATCACTTATATATATATATATATACACACATCTCAATTTAACAAACATAATTTAAGGGTCACATGATTCTTCTATGTTCCTTGTAATTTTTTTTTTTCTTGTTAAACTGTTTTTTAATCTGAAACTGAATCTCACTATTGATTGGTATGTTTTTAACCAGACACCTTTTCCTTCACTCAACATGATATTCTTGATTTAGCTTTTATTGTTTGTCAGAGGTGGAAATCAGATTTCAGAGTGGCACAGCCAGTTCTAAGGGGTAAGATGGGAGCCTTGAATGTGTTCTGACCTAATTTGCTTGTACTGCTGCTGCTGCCCTATAAGCGTGTGAATTTAAACTCAGGCTGCTTTTTTATATATATATATATTTATATATATATATATATATATATATATATATATATATATATATATGTGCATAGACATACACATGAAAAACGTGCACTAACTGCTTCGCTAACAAAAAAAACAAGCTTAGCCTCAATATTTCTATTATAACCATAATGATGTCAGAACCACTCGTTTTTCAAGAGTTATCTCCCTTTATAAGCATGAATGTCCGTTCATTATATGCACACTTGTGTGTGATATTAATTTTAGAATAATATAATTTTAGATTATGGCTATAGACTGATATAATGCAAAACATCTTTTTAATTCTCTTCTTCACATGCCTTATATAACCTCTGCTGCATCTATGTTTTTCCTTTTGTTTGCTTTGTCTTGGCTTTTTTTTTTTTTTTTTTTATTACTTTATCAACCAAATTTAGAAGTGAATTTTTTATTATGTGAATAATATAGGAATCTTTACATATTCCAAAAGTAAGCATTAGCTTAAAAGCACACACACATAATTTTATTACTTCAATTGTTATTTTTAGTGGATACCCATATTTGAGTAGATGCTCTGTTTTTTTTTTTTTTTTTAAACATTGTTTATTTCGTCTACCAGTTTGCGCACATTTGAAAACTTACTAAAGAAAATGTGACCTTTGACAGGAGAAGATAATGTGAATGAGTGAATGTGTAAAAAAAGATAAACACAACCTTACTTGACTGTGAAGCTCTCTGTAGCCCAGCAGTCAATGCACACCAAATCAGTGGTTACTCCTACAAAGGGGGGCACAAGTTTGTATCCTACTGGAGAACACATTTTCTTTAATAAGTGTTCTCAAGTGTGTGGGTCAATAGATGAAAAATGTGAGATTAAAAAAATATTTTTTTTTAATTCTTTAAAATATATATATATATATATATATATATAGGTCTGTGTAATTTTTTTTGTAGGATATAATTAAACTGGACTTTTTATTATACAATCCTACTTACTGACACAAAATGTTTATTTTTACATGCTCAAAACTTGCTTACATTTTTTGCTCTCAACTTCCTCTTCATTTTGAAAAATATCAGAAAAATGTATTTTACCAGATTATTTCTAATTGTACAAGTGAAACAAAAATTTGCTTTTGAAATATAAACTACTCAGATGTTATGACCAATATTTAAATGAAAATGAATATTTAGATTATGAAAGGAGAAAAAAATGCTGATATTGCAAAACCCCAATCAAATGATTTTTTTATGCACATCCTAAGAAGCATTTTAACAAATTCTCTTTTTGCCAAAAATGGTAATTAGAGAATCTTTATCTTGATTCTAAAATGAGTTTAAATGCAATAACATTTCTTAATTACTCAATTAATTGACAATAATTAAACCTCAAACTGTCATAAATCTTGATACTATCAGATGATTGCAAAAAATGGTAAATTAATTTTATCAAAAAATCTTTCTAATTGTTAAACCAGATTTTAGGGCGTTTACTCAATTATAAAACTTATGGAAAAAAATTTGTTTATATATATATATATATATATATATAATATGGTGTTATCTTCTACTGAAGATAATGCAACACATATTACCTTGATCAATAAATAAGCTGTTTTGTAATTTTTTCAATATTAGAAAATCTAAGCACTTGCATGTAATTCCTGATTTTCTGCATTTGTACCATTCTTATCAGAATGGTAGGTATGAAAGCTGTTTTTGCTGTTTTGGGGAGATTTTTTTTTTTTTTTTTTAATGAGGGGGAAAGGAATCTTGTGTAGTGGTGGGAGCTCAGAAATGATTTATAATCTATCGGGAATCTTAAATGTTTTAATTTTACAAATCCTTTGCTTAGTTAAAAAAAAAAAATGAAAATTAACAGAAATTCAATCTTATGATATTCTTGCTTTCTTATAAATGAAGGAATAAAATACTTCAATATAAAAATCATTTTTTAAAACTAAAAAAAAAAAAGTTGCTTTACATGATTGAAATTGACTCTCAATTATTTTTTTTAGATTACATTTCTTTTTCTTTTCTTTTTTTTCTTGTCTTTGTGTGTATGAGTATTTTGAGATGTTAAAAAAACAAAAAAAAATCTTATTACATAGAAATCTAGATATTACTTGATGATACTATTGTTAGGACTGATTTCCTCAGGGGCCCTAGATTTTATCATTACTGAGCTTCCATATCATAGTGAATGTTTCCTGGAGCTGAAAATTGTTTGATCCTAGGTATGACTTTTAGCTATTTTCCTCCTCTTCCTTATTACTTACACTGACACCACCTATTTCACCACATTTTTCATCATCTTGTAACAGCCGTGTACAAAAAAAAAAAAATGAAGTTAAATATTAAAAGAGAAAAAAAAATAAAAAGAAAGCACATGTGTGACAAACTGTCAGAAACAGGCTTTACTCAAAGCCAATTTCTGAAAATGAAAAAAAAAAAGAAAAAGAATAAGAAAGTCCAGTCTTGTGAACTGGGACCATTTTCACAAGAAGGAAAGATTGGAAAGAAAAGGATAAAAAAAAAACCACCCCTAAACAATCAAGATGAATTGAACTCTGTACACCAGACTGGTTGTGTATCTATCTGTCGATGTATGTATGTGCGTGCTTACCAGAGAAACATAGGGCATCCTCCCCCACACCTGTGACAAACCAAGTGCAGTGAGGGCTTTCGTACACATCTACCTGCACATGTGCACCAAGTCTCAATCTTTTCTTCCTCCTCCTCCTACACAAGCACAACAACAACAACCAGCACATCAGCAGTCGCAGTATTGCAGCCCATGGCCAGCCGGCCATCACAACACCTGGCCTAACGAGTTGTTTCCAATGGTGAGTCCAGAGGACACCCTAGACCTCTTTGTAGTTTCCTTTTGAGTGATCTTTCAGCAAGTGTGTGATAAGACAAAGGATGATTGTTTTGTCTTGGGATGGTCTAAATTTTTACAAATCAGGGACGGTACAAGTTTTTTTTTTCCTCTCTTTTTTAAGAAACGGGAACTCTTCAGCCTCCATTTCTACCTGCCATTTTCACCTGCTTCTTGTTAGTGGTATAAACAAAATAGTTGAAATACCCATTATTACACCCTCCCCACTTTTTTAAAACAATATTTCAGTTTGTCTATTTTAACTTCATATTTGTGATGTTATAAACAAATAACTCTTTTCTGTCTGAATTTCTGGGATGTGTTATCATTATTTACATTCAGACTAATGTCTGCTGTCTTTATCATCACAATTTGGTAGCATAGTAATTCAGAGTTCAATCTCTGGGCTGGGTAATACAGACTCAGACTATGTGGAAAGGGGGGGCAAGCAGTAACTGAACAGTACTAGATATGTAACAAGAACAAACTATCCTTGTAGATTAAGTAAAGGGTTCAGTTCAAAATTCACACACAACTTATGAAGACCAGAGGGCACAACATCTGAATGATGACAACAAAGATGAAGACGTTATTCTGAATGTAAATAATTCTTTAATACCTTACCTAAGAAAGGTTGGAAAAAGATTAAAAACATTATAAATTGCAGGTGGAAGAATTAAAATTATGGCATGATATTGTCAAAATATCTAAATATTTAGATGTAGCTAATTGGATTAAATGCTAAAATTAGTTTTGAGGATAGAATATTGAACTGGAAGTTATGAAGTCTCTGGCACAACCTTTTGGTCGCAAATATAATTTGGTTTATTGATATTAATAATTCACTGAACATCCCCCCCCCCAGTCTCTGTTGCAACTGTATAATGGGGGTTCCAAAAAGTTCTTAGCCTGACCTTGAGAGGATTCTTAAAATAATTCTAATATTTGATCAGATTTTTAAGAAGTGAATCAAGCTGACAACTTTTCAGCATCCCCTTATATATTATAAAGTGAGATGGTTTATAATTAAATCATGAATTCTGATACTCACAATATATGATTTGGAGTTTATATTCAGTTGTCTTCCAACCAAATTTGGGTGATACACTATCCACATGCATAAAATCCAATCCATCCATCCATCCATATTGTGTGTAGCACTTTTCAGATTGCACTGATCCGACACTTTGATTTTAGGTACAAGTGTTCAACCATGCATAACTAACCCCTTAATTTTTTTTTTTTTTTTTTGTGGTCAGGGGGACGTATTGTGCTTGAAGGTTGTATAAAACTCAAGATCGTATTTACTTTAAATAGTCAGATTTTGCAGTTCTACAGTTATTAAACTATTCTAGCAAGTCATATCGGTAGAAGTTCAAAATCCCCTTCAGATTATCAAGAATAAAAGATTAGTGAGTTGAATCGCAGATTCATCCAAATTTTTTTTGACAACAGTTTTTACAAAAATAACTGAATTTTTCATCTTGATCTATACCTTAAAACACTATTTTATTACAACAGTTTAAAGAAAATCAATTTGAAGTCCAAGGCAAGGGAGGATATGCTTGGTACCAAAAATGACATCTTTCTGCCCACATGGGAATATCTGAAGCCAATACCCCCCAAAATCTTATATAAATTACAGATGGTTGCCTGAAGATCAATGTCAACTATACCAATGAAAATTTTATCAAGTTAAAACTATGACAGTTGTATATGTACAAAGTAAACTTGATAGATTGCTGATAAGATATTTGTTGGACAAAAAATGTCACCAAGGCCATACCAATGAGCCTTGAATTCCCTTACATCTTTTGAGATTAATATATTAACCCTTAGCTTAACAATGAGTGCTCTTTCTATAAGGCCAAATAAAAATACTAAAAGGGCTAGATGTACTAAAAAAAAAAAATATAATAATACAGACATATTATGTCTGTCTATTTTTATACTGATCCTTTCCAGGTCTCAGTTTCTTGATAATAAGATGAAATTCATTAAGGAAGGTGGCATAGTTTTCTTTTTTTTCACTAAAGTTCTCTCAACCTTTTCTAAGATCATCTTCAGGAGTAAATCACAAAAAAAAAAAAAACTTATTGTAGCTGCAATAAGATCTGCATTCCGTTATGATGGTAATTTTTAAAAACATATACATCCCAATCATCGGAATGAAAATTTTTAGTACTTGGGCACCTTCCTTGATGAATTTCATTTCAACATCAAGAAATTGATTAGAAAACAGGAAAGGATCAGTATAAAAATAAACAAACACAATATGTCTATATTATTCAATATATATATATATATATATATATATATAATTTCTTGTACTGTTTTTCTTTTTCTTTTTATAACCAACACTGCACTAGTTTCTTTTCATATAAAATATACAAACTTTTCTTTAGCAAACTTTTATGCAAATGTCTAACCAAGAAACTAATAAACCTTTTTTTGATTTTTATTCAAAGACTTATATACTTCCATTTCAATGAATAGTGTGGCCAGCTGTATCTACTCTGTAAGAAATATAAGTTATGACCCTGCTTAATCATAAATATGTAGGTAATATCTCTCTTTCTCTCTCTGGTTATTATGTAATCACCTTCATTTTGGTTCATAAGACATTTTTCCATAAAAGAAGTGTGCCATATGTTAGCCATAACATGGGACCCCACGTCTTTGTTAAACATAAGATGGAAATATATAAGTGAACATTTTACATAAATAGTAGTTTTATATAAATATAAAAGGGTACATTTACATATGCTCTATCCCTGATATTGAGAAGCTTAACCCATAAATATAGCATACCTTTATTTACACACACACACACACACATACATATATATATATATATATATATATATATATATATATATATATATATATAAAGCTAGCTTAAAAGACACCCTATTAGGTAGCATTTAAGCTAGCTCCTGTGAAGTGCTCTTGATTGGGCCTTCAGCTTGTTCAAGAGTTTGAGAGTCCCTAAGTCTTTGTATGTTCTCAGCATTGGAAGCTTTCCTGGCTGCTGTTTAATTTGGGTTTTGATTTGCATATTGCTGTCATATGCAATCGGCAACATTAAACTGCAGAAGAACTCAAAATTGATTTGCTGCATTTAAGTATTGCATTATTATTTAAACTTACCTTTTAGATATTCAATGATAATTCTTCTGTCTACATTTTCATTTAAAGATAATTTGATGTCCATAGGCCCTTATTTTCTGTACAAACAATTACATTTTGTTTCATGAGTGACTTTCACTGAATTTCACAATTAATTTTGATTGTTTCCAAATTTATTTCCAAGTTGCAAAAATTCACATAAAAAAATTGCTGAAAACTGTCACAGTCATGAAAACTTGGGAATCCTAAATTTCAGGATTGCCAGTCCAGATCTAGCCCAGAATGTTTTTAATTTGTTCACGGGGTCGGCCTGATACCAAAATGCTAAGATTTATTGGGCTATGGTCTCTAGGAGTAAAGTAGAAAAGGTGTGACACACTGACACGTATTTATTTATATAGATGAGATTTTTAAAAGTTAGAGAGTTGTGTCCCTTTAATTGATAAAGTGTGACAGATTTTCACATTTATTATATAGATAGATAAGTTTATTCCTGTGTGTGTGTGTATATATATATATATATATATATATATATATATATATATATATATGGAATCAACACCATCACTTGATAAGGCATTAGAAGTGTTGAAACAAAATGGCTATTTTTGTAGTGATTTTATAACACATTTATGTTATAGTTTTCGAATAAATTATATTTGCTCTACTCTGTATTGAGCACTCTTTTAAGAATAGTATTTTTTTTTGGTAGGAGGCACGATGGAGTAATGGATAGTGGCTCGGATTGAGGAATTGGAGAGCCAAGTTCGAATTCCAGTCAAATCCATTACATTCACTTATGTGCTAATACTCTTAGGAAAGGTATGAATCCTCTTCTTCCCCCAGCTATGGGTAAATAGCAGGACAGTGGGTTCTATAGCCTTGGATGTCAACTGGTCTACTGCAGAAAGAAATGGCAACCTACCGCAGGAAAAAAATCTGCCTAGTCAGTCATGTATCGAAAGATACATGATCACGTAAGCATGTATCACGCATGGTACATAACTGACTGACTGACTTTTTTTTTTTTTTTTTGGTTATTGGAGCTTATTCCATATACACCAATCCTATACTTGGAGAGATATATATATATATATATATATATATATATATATATACACACTGATTAATACAGATGGATGGATAAATTGTCATCTGAATGATGCAAAAATGAAAATAACACAGGCATCTCATTTTAACAGACATATTTACCAAAATTACACAAAAATATCTTGAAATACTAGAGTAAATTTATTCAATAAATTTGATATTGGCTCTAACCACGGCCTCCAGACAACTTTGGAATCTCCTGCAATTCATCTGGATGGTCATCTTGTTTAAGTTGGTGAATGCTGCCATAATCCTTGTCTCCAATTCATCTTTGGTGTTACAAGGAGTTTTGTTGGTCTCTTGCTCATTTGTGCCCCACACGTGATGATCAAGTGGATTGCAGTCTGGTGAGTTAGGTGGCCAGCTGTAAGGGGTGATGTGGTTGCAGAAATTGTTTGATAGCCATGACTGGATCCTCCTGCTTGTGTGACATGGTGATGTGTCCTGTCACCAGACATAGGGTCTTCCAGCAACTAAAAAAGAAACCTCAAATCCTGAATGATGTTTGTTGATAGACACTAACCTAAGCCTCAATGTAATAACCAATAACGTACATTAAAAGATTCACATTATCAAATAAACCGATAATAAAAGTAATAGAACCATTTCTATTTTATATATTACTGGCATAACTTCATAATAAATTGCCTATGTGAAGAATAATTCCATATCAATGTAATCAATTTGTATCTATGCAAGCTCAACTGAGAAAATGTAAACATCGAGTTATGATTGCGTTCACAACAACCTTTATCTTTGACTAAATTTTCAATCATAATCATGGTAGTGAGAAATATTATATTTAGGATAACACAATATTATTTCACATTAAAAATTCATTATCATTTTAGAATGACATACAACCTTTATTTTTCAAATAAAAATCCTTTTATGGATGTTGAAAGTGGAATGTGCTATTGTCATACATTATCAGTGGTATTTTGTGATTGTTGAAGTATCAGTAAATGGCCATTAGCACACCAGGCTGTTTGTAACTGACTAGTTATAGGAAAAGAAGAGAAAGGAGAAGAAGACAAAGACTCAATATTTGCAAGATTCTTGTGATGATACAAACAAAACAATGGTTTCCCTTTTAGAGGACATGTATAGGAAAAACAGAATCAGTTATGTTATTTGTTTATTTTGAATTTCTAAGGATACAGTAACAACATTTCCACTAACATCATCTTTATGTAATCAATAAGCAGTCATCTTATACTACAGGTATAGGATAAATTCATGAATTAATTACTTTGAAAAATCAAACCCCAATTTGATCTTGACCTTTCTTAGGAAAGTTGGACTATATAATAAAATATAATTCCAATTTGGTGTCTGATGATGAAAGGGGGAACTTTGATACTTGCCAGGTGAGAAATTTTCAAAGAACAACTCACCTCCGAAAACAGTGAATTTTAAAAAAAGAAAAAAAGTAAGACAACATTGAAAAAGAAGGAAAGGGAAAGTCTTTTTGAAAGCATTTTAACCTTATTTAAAGAAAAAAACAAAAAACAACTGTTTGACCTTAAATGATCTCTTACTGATCGATGGGTTGTTAAGTTTTAAACAAACAAACAAACAAACATCTAAAAGTTGCCTTATATGCAGAAATATACAGTATTTTAAAAAGCATTCTGAGAAATTGCAAGTAGCAAAATCCATGTTTTCATCATGCGGGTCTTTCAAAAGCAACACCCCCACCATCTTAATTTTTCAATTCTAATTCTATGTAAGGAGTATCAAATAAAATATACAGTTTCACTTACATTACCTGATAAGCTGACAAAGTATTATTCAAAATGCATCAGGAATATCCAAAGGTATGGCATGTGGCATTAGGACACTCTAAATCTGCGGGCAAAAAAAGGTCCAGTTCAAAATTCCAATAAACATCACCTGAAGAAGGCCAGAGCATACAACAGTGAATATGTCAATAAAGATGAGGACAACAGTCCAAACAATGTAAATAGTGTAAATAGTTACAATACCTCATCTTAGAAATAGACAGATGTTGAAGGTGAATATGGCAATAAAGATGAGGACAACAGTCCAAACAATTTAAATAATTACAATACCTCATCTCAGAAATAGAAACAAATAAATTATATCAGGGAGGGTTAATATAAAGACTGGGGTATTAAAGAAAAAATAATAAATGCTGTATAGTCTAACAGTTGCCTACAATTACCAAACTTTATTATTCAGCTATCAGACTCTTGTTTATCTTTAAAGAATCTTTGTATATAAAGGCAATAAATTTTATTATAAAATTCTATGAAACATTTTTAAAGCACTCTTTCTCCTCCATTTCTCAGACCACAGTTTCTCCAAATTAAACTAATGTTGTTTACTTTTTACTTATTAATGATTTTAAGATCCTCATTCTTGTTAAAAAGACAAAGAATTGCTAAAAATTTATAAAACTATTAACTATAAACAAAACTTCATTTAAATAACATTACATATTTTGAGTCTTTTGTGAATCTGTTACCCACCCATCCTAAACAAATATTCTAATTAATCTGAACAACAGTGGGAATTGAACCCAAAATAACAATTTAAAATTTGGTATGAATTTTGTTCTCATCTTCTTGAAGAGAATAATTGAAATAATTTAGTTTTCTCCTTGTCTGGATTCTTCTTTGCATTGTTGCCAATTTTTGTTCAAATACTGGACATATCTTTGCTTCTCAATAATTTTGTGTATGTTTTAATTCGGAAAATGAAAATTTAATATTAATGAAGTTAAAATTAATTTACTTATTTATCTACCTTGTTCTTTTTGTCAGTGTCTCTTAAGTCAACCCAATCATCAAAAATTAAAATTCTCTTTTTCAAAATTGTTTCATTACTACTTTGATTTTTTTTTTCTCTAACTTAAATGCTATTAGAATATTTCCAGTCATTTTATATTCATTTGAGTTGACTTCTGAATACATTTCCTCACTTATCTATAATGAAAATGTACTCCCCACCACACACCATCACCACCAAAAAGTCACAAGTAAAACCCAACCCTTTCATGACAGTTGTTTTTGCATATGCATATCTTTTGCGAAGATACTGAATTGAGTTTGGCTTTTGCTATTTTTCCTTGTCCAGCTAATGTAAGGGTGCTGTTATCTGCATAAAATTAAAAACGTTTTTCAAATTTAACTGCCTTGAATTTAGTTTTCATTTTTATAATTCACCTAAGATTGTTTTTTTTATCTTTTTTGTTCTATAGATTTTGATTTTGTGATTAATTTTGAGGAGCTTGAAAGTTTTTGTTCCTTCTACTGACAACTTTGTCTGCTCAAACCATTTACTCAGACCATAGAAAAAAATACCTTTTTTTTTCTTTGTTAATGTTATAGAGTAGCTGAACACCTCCACAAGATGGACTGGTCTAAGACTATTTAAACAGCACTCTCTCTCTCTTACTGAGGGAGGGGAGTTAACAATTAACTTTTTATTATATTAGTCTGTGTTCTCAACTGTGTACCATATTATTCTCTGGATTAAACTTTTTCTTATTTTTTATATGTGTGTCAACCTTTCCTATTTATGACACAATAGTTAAAAAAAAAAAAAAAATCCAAATATGTTTTTAAAATCTTTAGAAATGCTTATTTTTGAGAATTTAATCTGACAATATTAAGTTTACTTAGTTAAAAAATTACATAAAGAATTTTCGAATATTAATTATCCAATGGATGAAATTTACAATTTGTCTGTTTCATATATATATATATATATATATATAAAATCCATTTCATTCACTTACATGCTAATACGGGGAAGTTATGAATCCTCTTCTTCTCCCTCCAGCTATGGATAAATAGCAGGACCGACTGGGTTCTATAGCCTTGGATGGCAACTGATCTAGGAGAAGGACAACTCTGAATTCAAAACCTGTGGAGGGTCGTTTGGGGACCTTGTGGCACATAGTGCACCAGGTCTCTGTATTCAGCCCTTCAAAAAGTATGGATGGTTCTGCGCAAAACCTTCACCACTATAATCAAATCTCATATGCTGGTGTCAGGCTGTCAGTTTCTAGGAACTGATCTGCCTGACCCTCATATGTTGAATTTGATTTGAGAGTAGCATATATATATATATATAAATTTCCAAATCCTGCGCCTTTTCACTCTTGTTGGAGGATGGAGGAACTCCTCCCTGGTTGACCTCCACAACTTCCTATCTCTGGTCAAGTGGGGCCAAGGTATCAGATCATTGAGATGAGAGATATGGCCAGTCCATCTATGTTTGCCTTTGATGTTTGATGGTCTCAATTATCTCCTTCCCTCCAGTTTGCTATGTTGCTCTTCCTGTCACGTGAGGTGATACCAAGTATGATTTGCTTCATTTTACATTAGGCCACTGCAAAAGGTGCACAACTATTGGTTGGCTCACAGTGTAGATATCATTGAATATCTCTTCCAATTCTTGTGGTGTGTGGGGTATTCAGATGATGGCATCTGTAAAGTCTAGAAGTTCATCATCTTATGTTGATACCCTTGTTCTCTGTTATTTTTTTTTTAGTTCCAGGGCAAAATTCAAAGAATTTTTTTTTCTTAAGAACAGTAGGAAGCTCCAAAAATATTTTTTCTCCTCCCAATTTATTATTGTAGTTTTAAACTTTGAAAAAGAAAAAATATTATTTAATTGTTTTTTTCTTAAAAGTATTAATTATCTAATCAAAAAAAAAAACTTGCAAAGTTTGCATGGATGCTTTCTTTGAGCTTAGCTAAAATGTAGCTCTTTATTTAACAAGATGATAATTCAAGGTCTCCTCAAGTCAGATTTATTCACTGATTTAAAAGAAAAAAAAAGTTAGTTTCAATAAAACCCTCTGTTTGTAAAGAGATATTTACTTCAAAAAGGCTTATACAGTGTAACCCGGATATAAGAGAGATTTTCTCTGGTCCCAAATTAGAGCCTGTGTTAATGTATATAAAATAGACCAAACCCGGATATAAGAGACTTCTTCTCCAGTCCCGATAACTCTCTTATATCCGGGTTACACTGTATAGTTAATAATGCCAAAAGGATAGAGAATTTAGTCTTTGGGATTTTTTTATACTCCTTTCAACAAATTTAAGTTTCTTGATGTCCAAATATTTTTACATAATCTTTTATATGAGTAATTCTATCTTTTGTAGATTTATTTTTAAGTCACTTTAAGTAGATTTGATTTTTTGTAAAGTTTGTTTTTTCTTTCTTCTTTCCCTCTTTCTTTCTTCTTTCCCTCTTTCTTTCTTCTTTCCCTCTTTCTTTCTTCTTTCTTTCTTTTTCTTTTCCCTTCTTTCTTTTCTTTTCCTCTTTCTTCTTTTCTTTCTCTTCTTTCCCCCTTTTCTTTCTTTCTTCTTTCCCCCTCTTTTCTTTTTCTTTCTTTTTCTTTTCCCCTCTTTCTTTCTTCTTCTTTCCTCTTTCTTTCCCCCTCTTTCTTTCTCTTTCCTTTTCCCCCTCTTTTTTTCTTCTCCTTTTCCCCCCTCTTTCTTTCTCCTTTTCCCCTCTTTCTTTCTCCTTTTCCCCTCTTTCTTTCTCCTTTTCCCCTCTTTCTTTCTCCTTTTCCCCTCTTTCTTTCTCTCCTTTTCCCCTTTTCTTTCTCTCCTTTTCCCCCTCTTTCTTTCTCTCCTTTTCCCCCTCTTTCTTTCTCTCCTTTTCCCCCCTCTTTCTTTCTCTCCTTTTCCCCCCTCTTTCTTTCTCTCCTTTTCCCCCCTCTTTCTTTCTCTCCTTTTCCCCCTCTTTCTTTTCCTCCTTTTCCCCCTCTTTTCTTTCTCTCCTTTTCCCCCTCTTTCTTTCTCTCCTTTTCCCCCTCTTTCTTTCTCCTTTTCCCCCTCTTTCTTTCTCTCCTTTTCCCCCCTTTTCTTTCTCTCCTTTTCCCCTTTTCTTTCTCTCCTTTTCCCCCTCTTTCTTTCTCTCCTTTTCCCCCTTTTCTTTCTCTCCTTTTCCCCTTTCTTTCTCTCCCCCCTTTCCCTCCTTTTTCCCCTTTTCTCTCTCCTTTTCCCCTCTTTCTTTCTCTCCTTTTCCCCTTTTCTTTCTCTTTGTTTTTCTTTTTCTTCTCTCCCCTTACTTTCCTTTTTTTTCTTCTTAAGCAGGTGAAATGTTACTGCTGTTCTTATGATTAATTATATTGTCTTTTCTCACTTTGTGTCCAATTCAGTAAATATAGTTTTTAAAATCAATTTAGTCTTGAAAAAAATAAAAGGAAATCTTCTTGAGCTTTGAGATCAAATAATTCCTACTTTCTATTATTTTAAAAGAAATAAAAAAAAATCTTAGAGTGTATACTTTTGCTTGATAAACTAAATCTTAACCCTTTTTTTTTTCTGTTACGACTAGCAAATAAATCATTCTTTACAATAAAACTTAAATATTTTTTATTTTACTCTCTCCATGTGTGTTATTGCCACAAAGATTTTCTTGTCTTCCCTTAATATTATATTCGTAAGCACAATATTTTCTCCAGTTCCCCCACCACCCACAATTTTTTCTTTTTTTTTTTATGTGGGATTGATCATTTTCATTCCCCACCTCCCATCACTCTGAAAATTTAATTTTTTTTTTTTAAGCTCAGCCCCCCCATGTATTTTTTTTTTTTTTTTTTTTTTTTTTTTTTTTACCCTGTTTTTGTGTTGTGAATGAATGTTTTTGTTCAGGTTTATTTCAACTAATCTTGTTTGTGTTTCTGTTTAGTTTCAACTTGTTTCATATCGGTTTGCTGTTTTCTGGATGTTTTAGAATTAAAAAAAAAAAAAATGAAGCCCGGTAGATATCAAGCATTTAGCATCTGGTTAAAACTAAACCATGACTGTTTCTACTAACTAAAAAAAAAAAAAAAAGAAACAACTAATTTCCCTCATTTTCATTTCATTCTCAATTTTCTAATTTTCATTGTCAGAAACTGTTCTTGAAACCACTTTTGTCTTTTGGGCCCTTTTTTCTTTTTCTTTTCTTTTTTTCTTCTTTTCTTCTTCTTTTTTTCATTATCTTTATGTACACCACTTTCTATTCTATTGTGTTACATTTCTTTAATATTATAAATCTAAATCCTTTCTACACCAAAGAGCTTGAAGTCTGTTTTTTATATATATATATATATATATATATATATATATATATATATACCTAGCATCTCTGATGTCAAAACCTCCCTCTGCACCAAATAAAAATTTTTTAAAAAAATCACCTTTCTTCCTTATTGTACTGGGTTTTCCATCTGTGTCTTTTATTTGAGTGCCTTTCGTAATTTAAGGAGGAGGATGTGAAATTGGATTTTGGACTCCTTAATTTTTTTAAAACTTCCCCCCTCTCTCTCTCTCTCTCTCTCTCTCTCTCAATTTTCTTTGTTGCTTAAGATTCCCGGTTTTCCTTTTCTTTTAAATGTTTTTTTTTTTTTTTTCATTGTTTGCATTTGTTGCACCTGTGAAATGTCCTTGTCATTTTACAATTCTTACTGGTGATCCTTTTTTCTTCTTTTACAGACAATGGTTACAAATGTCACATCTCTGTTAAAAACGGTGAAAGCCGTTGAAGATAAAACACAGCGAGGAACAAGGGCCCTGGAGTCAACAATTGAAGCTGTCGGACAGGAAATTAAGGTGACCGCTCTTTGCCTATGTTTCTGCTACACTTTTGAAAATTCTCTATCCTCCTCATTACTTTTTCTTTTTTAAGGGGTTTAATGTCTCCACCTTGCATAGTTTCCCTTAATAGCATTAATTCTCAGTTTTTGACATGCCAACAGTTAAATGTCAAAATTTTCATATAAACATAAAGGATGTACTTGTGTGTCATAAAACTACATTTTTTGTTTCTTTTATTTGTCTTCTTTTCTTGTAGTTCTTTCAACTTCACTTTATCCTTTCTCTCACCCCAAATTTTAAGTTAGACCATTATTTTCTCTCCAGAACCAAGAGTCTCCTATTCTCTATTGCTGCTAACCAAAAATACAGCCAACTAATTTTTGACTGGACAAAACCTAAATGTAATGCAACTAACAGGATATTCATTTATAGAAAACATAAATGGAACTTTAATCCATTAAAAAGATCATGGTTTTGAACAATGCATTCATTGCATCATATCTTCTGTTAGAATCATCACCACTATTAACTCTTGGGTCATATTTAAGTAGTGTTGGGGGAGGGGATGGTTGCACACATTACAGGTACCTACATTATTTGGAAATCTAAATTTTTTTTACTAGGTTTTTATAACCACAATGAGCACATGCCTTGCACCAAAATGTCTTTTTTTCTGAGCCCATTTAAGGGTGATGAATTTGTGACATGCTTACCTGAAGCAAAATGAATGCAATGTTTTGTATGCTGGTAGTCATTTGCAATGTGAAAACAGCAGATACACAAGTAGTTTTCTTATAATATTATCACCTGAGGAATATACATGAGTCCAATGAGTATGTAAGGACTTTCAGGAAGAGACAGTCTGTAGGCTGTTGGCAACTGTTAAGAAAAGACAGTGATTCTGTTTGTCAACAACTGCAATTGACAGTGGGCCATGTGTTTCAAAATGGATGATATGTGTGTGTGTCCAGCCTGGAGTAGTTCCTTTGCTTTCCTCTGTGGTGCAGTGACCCCATCTGCAACAAAACTTTGCCAGCTGGCAAGAAAATTTTCAGTTCAATGTCAACTTGATACAGTTAAACAAAAAAAAGATTTAGTATAGATAAATTTATGTGATATCAGACAAAAAAAAAAAACAAAAGACCTAAAAGAATTATTTTATTCTAAGCAATTATTAAAATAAAGAAAATACAATGAACACTATCTATTCAAAAGACACATTCTTAATTTCTTCATCCATCTGCAACTTATAGGAATATCTATTCCTCAAAATGTCAATTTTATTTTATTTTATTAAACATCTATTATCATAGTTACAGATATACAAAAGTGTGTGCACAGTATATAATTATTGACTTGTGTTCATAATATCTTACCTCTTATGTATCAAGGACATTTAGATGAAAGACTGCTTGCCTAAAAGAAATATATTGAAGATAATTCCTGTTCATGCTTGTGTAATTAATCAAGATTTTGAAAATTATAAAAATAGAAATAAAAAATCTTAAATGTTTCCTTTATTAATTAGTAAAATTAAGATCTTGCATTTTGCTCTCCCTTGCAATTAATGTTAATATGTGATCATGCATTGGACCAAATGTCATTAATGGAAAAATATTTACTTCAGTGAAAATTGAATTGTCTAAATGTTTTGTTTTTGTTTTTTCCATGAACTTTACCTTAAATGTTGGTACTGCTGCTCTGATGCAAATATAGTGAGTCATTCTTGTACTAAAGTCTCATTCAGGCACGTACATACACACACAGATTTTTTTTTTTTTTAATGTGTTTAGGTATATAGTCTAGCTGATTTTATTTAGTTTCTTTTCTTTGTTTCCATCACTTTTGTTATTAAATACATTTTTGTCTCAGTAAATTAATTAAAGTAGCATTTTTTTAAAATAGAAATTATAAGATTCATTACAGTAAGCAACTAATGCAATGAGTGTTTTGTAAAAGATCCCATTTGTGTTCATATAACCTTTTTATTTAAATTCCTTGAGGTTTCCTCTATGTTTTTTTTCTGGCAATAAATACTGGTGATAAGTTTTAACTTATTTTGTATTGTATTAAGTCTTTATTTTTTAGAAGTAGTTGTAACAAATTTTATGTTAAGCTTAGATAAGTTCTTTTCAATTGCAGTTGTAATAAAGATGGTAGTTTAATATATTTTGATTCATTGAGTTTGTCAGAATTGTTCACTCCTCTATTTTGAAATATTTTACAAACCTTTTGTTTTGTGCTGAATATGAAATAATTAAAGTATTCAAGGAGCTTAAAAGTATTTCCAATGTATATCTCCTCTTCAGGTAAATGAAATGAGCTACAAATTTTGTTTAGGGTTAAATTTTTTTTTAGATTAGTCCTAAGCTTTAGTTTAATTACTTATATATTTTTTATTTAATTCATGATATGTGTGTGTGTGTGAGATTAAAGATAAAAGGAAAGCTTAGCTTAGCTGACACGTTTTAGTCCTCTGAGAGACGTTGTCAAAGCAAATGCAAGGATTTTATTTAAAAATTTTGAAAAACCAATAACATTTTTGCTGTTGTAGGTAAATACTTGTTACAAAATAAATTCCTTGCATTTGCCTTGACAAAGTCCCTCAGGATGAAACACATCAACTAAGATAAGTTTTTCTTTTCTCTTTTTCATATTGTCCTTTTACAGAAATACTGTATCTGAAATTTCACACACACACACACACACAATATGACAAAGTGGGGAAAAAGGTTTGTGTGATGCATTTTCAACCTTTAGTATTTCATCAGACCAAATTTTGTTTATGTTGGTGCATCTACACATGCACATGACCAAAAGATGCTAGAAATTCTAAATTTTAAATTATTTTTCATTTTTCATGTGTTTTGGAGATATAATCTAGCGAATTTCATTTAGATTCTTTTTCTTTTTGTTTCTATCACTTTGTATGTATGTCTAGTAGACATTATATTAGTTGTTTTTTTTGCATGTTGATTTTGAAATGTTTTTACATACATATAGTTTGTTTTAGATAAACATATTGAATTCTTTAAGAATGGATTCAATAAAGGTTAGTGATGTAATGTTTGGCATAGTTTCAGTTTGAATTGTTTGCCTCCTTTTCTTTGATTCTTTACTTGATATCATAAACTCTTTACCTTTTCTTGGTCATTCAGGTGTATGATTCATCAAGCATTCCTGACAAAAAAGCTTCCGCTGAAGATCTAATTCAATACACCAAGCCAATTACCACAGCAACGACCAAAGCTGTTGCAGCTGGTAATTCTGGAAATCAAGATGATGTTATTGTTGCAGCCAACATAGGACGTAAAGCTATCTTTGATCTTCTTGGTGTCTGCAAGGTAAGAGACAAAATGCTTCACGTGCATATGTGCTCTCTCATACGCGCGCACACACACACACACACACACACACACACACACACATATATATATAATCTCATAAAACAGATGTAACTTCAGTGAATAGAATATATAAATTTAACTTCTATTCAATATATTCACTCATTTTCCAACAGATTTGCCAATTGAGATTTTAAGAGGTTTTTTTTTTTTTTTATAATCATTTCGCCCCAAGCAAAGTGATAATGCCACTAGGTTACAAGTGTGGTGGACTTCACCACATTGATTTAACTTTAGATTAGGAAACAAGGCTCACAAAAAAAAGGATAACCAAAAGACATTTACACATAAAATATATATCAAACAACAATGAGAAGGAAAGCATGCATTTAAGTAAGAAAAGGTTGAATTAACCAAGAGTTGTCTCTCTTTAACTATTATTTTAGAGTTCAATGAGAAATAGTTATTTGGTTCAAAGTTCACTGGAAGAATTTTCATGAGAGTCTCTTGTAATGATTGTTCTTAAAAGATATTGCTGTGTAAGAAGAGTTTATGTGAGTGTGTACAAGGTATGTTCAGCATGTGAGTGGTGTATGTGAGTGAGAAGGTTGGCGCATGGTTTCAACTGTCGTGGATTCGTTTGGCAATTGAATTCTCACTAATTGGGATAAGAAAAATCTTGGCTTAATAAGCAACTATAGGCTCCAAATCTGCACAGGAAAAATTATTCTTCATGTGAAACGATCTGATTGGTTAGCATCGACCAATCAGTGAGCAAGCTTTAGGGAGACTTAAGAAATCTTCTGTGATCCGCTTCTCCCAAAAGTGCACAAAATTGACTACTTAAAAATAGATCAATTACAAAATTGTCGCATTACTGTGATTTGTAAATTGCCTGTAGTAATGTAGTGGTGATTTATTAACCAATGAATGCTTGACATTGTATGTGATTTTTTATGTATGTATGTTTGTACATAATAGATCTACACACATGGAGAGAAAGAAAATGAGAAGGACAATAAAGGGGCAATTAACATTACATTTAAATTTAAGATTGTAGCTTTGAGGGAAACAAAAAATCAGGAGGGAGTTCCATGGTAGAGAAAAGAAACTATAAGAATAGAACTGATGATTGCATCTTGCTAGTTCAACAATGAAACTGTGAAACCTGGTAGCCAATCTAGTAGTGTGCTTAAATTAATGCAGTTGAGGCACTGAGGAGAACAGTGGCTGAAGTTGAGATGCCAGGTTAGGACTGATAACATTACAGACCCTTCTTTGAATTTTGTCAAGAATCTCAGGAAGATAAGATGACAGTTGGTGCTGCATTAAAGATTGTAGGCGGCAGAGAAGCAAGAAATTGGAAGGTATTTCCACAGGTGAGAAAAGAAATATTGCATCTTGCTAGTTCAACAATGAAACTGTGACACCTAGTAGCCAATCTAGTAGTGTGCTTAAATTAATGCAGTCGAGGCACTAAGAAGAACAGCTCATCAGAACAATAGCCATGAAAATATTTGTAGAGATGACAGAAGGAAGCTGAATCATGTCTGAGAAAATGACTGATAGTAGAAATGCCAGGTCAGCATCGATTATATTACTGCTATTTTCCAAAAGATTTGTGTGTGAAAGAATTATCACTGTTATTAATAACAATGCATGTTGTTAATTTTTTAGGCTGCAGCTGCTACTGGAGAAACTGCAGATATACGCCAAAAAACACTCCTTGCTGGTCATCAGTGTGCTGTTGCATATAAAGATGTTCTTGTACATGTCAATTACGTAAGTCACTTCACACTTTATTACTTTTTGTTTTTGTATCTTGAGTAATTACTAGCTAGACTGTATATTGAACTAAGAGTTGTTGGTAGACATTATTGTTTTAGTAGACTACAGAATGAAATTTTTAAAAATTTGATTGTTCTAACGATATCCATTTTCAGCACCTTCCACCTTGAAGAAGGCCCAATTATGTGGGAGTTAAAAATAAATTTCAACACAAAATATATGAAAAAATAATTGGTTAGAGATTTATAAAAATCTAAATAGAAATAAATTTGACTCCACATACAAGTCAAATGCTGGATTTATCAGAAAAGCATTATTTAATTCAGTATTTTTGAAACAATCATCAAGGTATTTTTTTTTTTTTTTTTTAATTCTCTTTCAATCCTAGATATTCTAAGCTTGGAATTAAACATCCAAAATGTTCATATATTGAATTCCTTGTTTTTCATGGTTCTCCTTTAGATTTTGTCATGAGTCTTTTTTTTTCCCCCCACTTTTCAATTTATCTTTTTTTAGGCTCTTCAAAAACCATCACCTGAAATAAAACAGAATCTAGTAACTGTATCACGAAAAGTTGCCACTGCTGTTGCTGAAATTGTTCAGTGTGCCGAAGCGATCAAAGGTGAGCATCTATTTGTACGAAATTCTCAGAATTGTTTTTTACTAAGGAACAAAATAGAAAGCAGAGAATGTTTTGCTTGTTTTTATCAGTTTTTTTTTGTTTCCCCGTGTTGCAAGTTTCTATTTTTGCTGTTTTTTCTTTAACATCTTTGATTACAGTAACAAAGTAATTATTAAGTAAACAAAACAAAAATGACACTTAATTTTCTTCTTCCTATCATTTACATTAATTTTGTATAAAATTTTATCAAGTGTTTTTTTGCTCTGCTAAGAAAATTAAATTACTTGAAAATGTTTTGAATTATAAAATGTCAACTTCAATTCATGATAACCTTTTTCTTTTCTTTTTTTGAATTGAAAGTCATCTGACTTTGGAACTATGATCCTTATATTATTTATAATACTGTCAGCACAATAAGCTACAAGTACTTTTTTTATATCCCATAATGATGAAAAGATCTCATTAACACTTTCAACATCAAGGAAATTTCTCCCTTGTAAGTCTTTAGAAAATTCAAAATTTATTTTTTTTAATCATTTCACCCCAAGCATGGGAATAAAGCTACTGAGACGCAGGGATTACTGAGTGAAAGAATTTAAGAAAAAGAAAAACATTAAGGAGCTATAACAATAATAGAACAGGAATTAACTTTTTAAAATAACTCTATTTTTAAGAAAAACCTATTGCTGTAATGAAGGAAATTATTAAAAAACAAAAAAGTAAAAGTTCTACAATCCTTTATTATTAATCATTTGAAATGATTGCAATATTTTGTGTCGATTTGAAATAATCTTTTTCTTTGTTAGATTAGAATTTTTATCTGACATTGCATTGACTTAATGGTCTTGTTAGCATGAAATTCACTTTTTTTTTCTTTTTTTTTTTTTTTTTTTTTTTTTTTTTTTTTTTTTTTTTTTTTTTTTTTTTTTTTTTTTTTTTTTTTTTTTTTTTTTTTTTTTTTATGTCATCATTGAAGATTCGTATTTCCTGAAACTTGGAATGCTTGTGTCCAACTCTCTTTGAATTTTTCTCATCCCATTCTATATAAAGTGGGATTATTCTTTCATTGAACTTTGTGTATTATTTTTAAATCTTAGAAAAATTGTTTCATTCTGATCAACAACTTTCTCCTTGGATTTTAAAAAAAACAGTAATCCTTGATATTTATATTTTTACAGGTTTTTGTATTTCATAATTTAAAAATATTACTTTAAATACATTCAGTATAAAATTGTCTCTTTCTGATCCATCTTTTATATATGTAATACAAATATCTCAGGTAAAAAAAGAAAAGTCTTTATTTTTGCAGCTTGTTGTGGCCCAGCTGCTGAAGGTCTGTTATTTATCATCATCAGGCAATGTGTTTCCTTTGCTTGACTCCAACATCACTTACCTCCCCCTTTTTTTTTTTTTTTTTATATAAGTTATTTCAGTTCACAAAGTACGCAGACTGTTGTTGCTTGGGTGTTGGTAGCCAGCACACCTACCTGCTACAGAGCAGGACATTTCCGGAGGCTGGACCAACATCTATGATCTGTTGATATTTTTTTTTTTTTTGTTTCAATAGATTTTTCTTTTTTAAATGTTTTATTTTCTTGAGTCAGTTCTTTTAATACTTTTCTCTTTGCCAATTTCTGATATGTTACAATGTATATTTTGGCCACCAAACAAAATTCTTAGCATCAGCATCAAAAATGTGACTCATTAATCTTAAACTTTCCCCTAAAATAGAAATGGCAATCTTTTAAAATTCTGCTTATGGCCATATCATGTTGAAACCCCAGTTCCCATATGATCACCAAAGTTAAGCAATGTTAAGCCTAGTCAGTACCTAGATGAGTAACTGCTTGCAAATACCAGCTGCTGTATAGATGATGTAATTGATAATGGCTCAGAATTGTTAATAGAAGAGCCAAGTTCCAATTCCAGTTGTTATATTCACTCATGTGTGAATACCCTTGGGAAATGTATGAATCCATCTCTTCTCCCCCATCTATGGGTTAATTAGTAAGACTTCTATCACTAAATCATTATCTCAAAAGAAAAAAATTCTTACAATCTAAAAATATTTTATGGATTTAAATAACCTGAATTAATAAGTCATAAAAAATGAATCAATCTAAAACTCAGAGCTAAAGAGCTTTATTGTTGCTAAACCATTAGATGAAGCATTATTTGGAGACAATCTTAAAACCATCAAAAAAAAAAAATTCCCACATAAAATTCCAAAACTATTCTTTTTTAAGTCTGTTAAATTCATGAAAATAACAACAGATTTACTTAACATTATTTTTTAAGATTCAGTATTATTTAAAATAATAATGTCTATTTCAATATGTATTTAATATTTAAGTCTATACATGCTGGCTCCACATGTGTAACCAATAACTGGAACTTTCAATACTTGCTTGCTTCTCTCCTCATCAGTTTTTATGAATTCCCATTAAGAATTGTGGAAATTATAAAAGCAAAGTTTATGAAATTCAGGTGCTGGGAAATGCCTTTTTTTTTTTTTTTTTTTTTTTTTCATATTTACTCAAAAGACACCTGTAAAAGTGTCAATATATATGCAATATACACCTGTCATTAATTGATATTCAAACTGTTTGTTCTTGCTTCTGCAAAATACTCTTATGTACATTTTTCAATTATCAACATGAAAGGTTTTTGATGTTATTTCACAAATGTTTCTTGGATTGAAAGAAAACAAGTTTTAGATTTGTGCTGCAAACACCTGAACACTTGTTAATCAAAATGATAAAAGAAAAAAAAAAACAAGAAAAATGCAATTCCAACATTGCTGACAGAAAAGAAATTCAGAAAACAAGACCTGAATTGGAATACAAAGAAGGAACTCAAATTCTTAACACTGGAAATAGGCAAGTCCCTGCTAAAATGCAAAAACATTTTAGCTATTTTGTATCAATTCACTTAGCTTAACATAAGCTTCAGTTTTGTCCACCTATTGCAAAACCCTCAATTGGCAGAGAATGATAAATCTGTTCAAATCTGGATAAGGGCAGAATAAAAATTTCATTATAGATTATGGGGAGAGGAAGTGTGAATGAGACTTTTATTTATTTATTTACTCTCTGAATAATAATTTCCCAGGCAGTAGCATCTTTTTTTAATCATTTCATCTCAAGCATGGCAATAAAGCAATGGGGTTACTGAGTGTTTCATCTCAAGCAAGGCAATAAAGATGGAATGGGGTTACTGAGTGTTAGAGAATATAAGCAAAACTACTATTAAGGAGAGAGAACAGTAAAAAAACAAGAATTAAGAAGCCAGGAGATAATGATTGACATTGCATTTAAATTTTTGAAGATCAAAGTTGACTGAGAAGCAACTCACCAGAAGAGAGTTCCACAGGCAAGAAGTGCAATAGAAGAAAGTCTTCTTAGCATAGAACTTATGCTTACATCTAGGTATTTCAACTTTAAAATTATGAGGCCAATCTGGTACTGCACTTAAATTTGTAAGGTGTAGGTACCATAGAGAAAAGTTCATTAGAACAATTACCATGCAAGTATTTATATAAAAGGGCAGAGGGAAGCTACGTTACAATGATGGGAAAGTGACTGAAACAGATGTTTGGTCAGGACCAATAACATTGCAGATTCTTCTTTGGATTTTATCAAGAATCTCTAAATATAGTGGGCAGGAGCACTAGACCAGATGTGGCAGCAATATTTAAAACAGGCATGTGAATTGTCAAATGGAAGCTTTTTCTTAACACAGTTTAAGTAGCATTTGTCTACACATTCATAAATAAATGTTTGCCAAATTGAACACTAATTATTCTTTGTCATCTGTTAGAAACTTTTCATACTGAATCATAAATAGTCCCCTTCCTTAATTTATTAACTACTGTTGTTCTCGGGTCCATCCTGACCCAGGGTGGTAGCACCTGTTAGGATCCCAGTTATAAGCAAATAGTGAACCTCCACAAAGAAAAATCAGCAGTACATTTTTATAGTAAAATGACAGTCAGTACAACACTAAATAAGTATAAAAATACATTTTTATAGTAAAATTACCAGCAATAATTTTTTATAAAAATAAAATAAAATGTCAAACAATACATTTTTTTTGTTGTGAAATTACCAGCAATACATTTTATTATCTACAAACTGTATATCTTTTAAAAAAACAAAAAACAAAAAAAACATACCTTTTACCCTGAAAGTATAAAATTATGGGTAAAATATTTTAATTTTTGGCATTAAATAATCCATAGAGGAGTTGATATGTCACTAAATAAAATCAACCAACCTTAATTCATATTTTTTATGGAAAGAATTGGTTTACAAAATCTGTACAGATATCAAGGAATTGGTAATCCATTGTTTGTTGAGTATTGAAAGATTTGACCGTACCGCCTTATGTTGTACAACCACTGCCCCCACTCCTTTTATATACAAAATCATTTTTTGTTGGAGATACAAAATAAATATTGCTTTTCATTCTTCATCCAATTCTACTTTTGAATTCTTTCTACTTGTGCTGATCATGAACTTTAACCCTTAATGCTATTCTTTTTATTCCTCTTTATTCAACTTCGAAGTTAAGAACACTTATTAAAGCAACAAACAGAATCTGTTGAAGTTCTTCATTTCTTTTTTATTTATTTATTCTTTCTTTCTTTCTTCTTTCTTTCTTTCTTTTGTCTGTCTTTCTTTCTTTCTTTCTTTCTTCTTTCTTTCTTTCTTCTTTCTTTCTTTCTTCTTTCTTTCTTTCTTTCTTTTTTTCTTTCTTCTTTCTTTCTTTCTTTCTTCTTTCTTTCTTTCTTTCTTTCTTTCTTTCTTTCTTTCTTCTTTCTTTCTTTCTTTCTTCTTTCTTTCTTCTTTCTTTCTTTCTTTCTTTCTTTCTTTCTTCTTTCTTTCTTTCTTCTTTCTTTCTTTCTTCTTTCTTTCTTTCTTCTTTCTTTCTTTCTTCTTTCTTTCTTTCTTCTTTTATAAGTTTGAATAAATTCTCTATTCAGTACTTGCCCATAAAAAATAGTTTTTTTTAAAAATACTGGCACAGAATCAAGTGTAAAGTTTCAACTTTGATGTCAGTCAATATTTAACACTTCCACTGCTATGGATGTACTTGCACGTCTTTCTGAAACTTACATTGCCTGTTATCAATGTATATATACGTTTTCAAGACATCATGAAATGTTGGCTGATACTGTTTCTGTTACAAACTAATGTTTAGTGCTATTTCCAATCCTATATATATATTGTTGATAGTTTAATTAACACTTCCACTGATGTAGATGTACTTATGTCTTTATGAAACTTACATTGCCTGATGTCAAAATAATGTTTTCAAGACATCATGAAATGCCAGTTCAGTCCATAGCATTTATTTATAATCTAGCTAGACATCAGCAAGAAGAAAAGCCCAAGATGTTAGTTACAAATTAAAGATGTCAACATCAAGTAGGTACAGAAGTTTAAATATCTGAGAAATGCTTTAACAGAGGATGTTAAAATGCAACATCAAAATCAAAACACATATTGAGCTAGTGAACAAATCAATCTAAAAGCAAAGTGATGAGAAATGGAAAAGTTTTGTTACAAAAGAAAATGTGTTGAATTAGAATGTGATATCCATTGTCTTACATGGCAGTGAATGCTGAACAATCTTTCCATGGATGAGGAGAAAACTTGAAGCAATAGAAATGTTTCTACAGAAGGATACTGAGAATTCCTTTTTGTACAGGCCTTTATGAATCTGGAATTGCCTGATGGCAATGTATATATACGTTTTCAAGACATCCTGAAATGTCGGTCTCTAATGTTTGTGTTATAAACAATGCTTAGTGTTATTTCCAAACCAACATACAATTTTGATGCATTTTTATTATATGGTGTCTAGGATGTTGTTTAACTTAATGTGCACTAAGTGAAAACTAATCCAGTGAAAACTAAAAATGGCAGCACTCCTGAGATCTCAGCATCTTTATAGTCATTTAATTGCTGTAAATAGCAATTTCCTATTTTCCCCACAAATGGGCCAGCACAGCCAGGCAACGATGCTATAACAATGCAGCAGTGAAAGTGTTAAAAACAAAATCTGTCACTGGGAAAAGTTAAGATAGCAATCAAATAACTTTACATTTAACTTCCCATATTTCAATCATATATCCTTTATTTTTTTTATTTAAGAGATATTTCTTCAGTACAAAAAAGAATTTTACTTTCACTCATTTCTTTTTCATAAGGAGTGACAAAAGAACAGTTTTGTTCTCTACATTGTTTTCTTTTATGGCATTTTCATATTTCTTCTAATTGTGTAATATTTCTTTTCAAAATCTTCTATAAAAAGATACAATTATTGAGCAATTGAAATTAGGTAGACCTTGTTCTGTGTCAGTATGTCTGAAAACTGCTGATTCAAATTTTGATTTATATATTACCATCTGGATTTGACCAGACATAAATGGTGCCTTCATTTTAGCAGAGGCAAAACTATAATTTCTGACAACAGATTCTGTTTATTTTCATTAATGACTTGTCTGTCTATTAATCTTGCTTTTAATGCTTCCTGTGTCTGACTTAGTATTGTTATCCAGTCTTACCTCACCCTAACCCTAACCATCACTGTGGATCACGTTTGTCAAATTATCAGTAGATTCTCTTGACCCAGTGTCACTTTTGTCTTTTGTGATTATTGGGATCTGTGTGTTTAGATTAGAAAAACAAAAATAAGTTTGGCTGAAATATGAAGTTTTTTTTGTTTAAAATTTTTTTTTCTTTTACCCACTCTCTTTTTGTTTTTTGTTTTTAATGTATTTATTATCTATCCATCAATCCATAGTTGCCCACCATTTTCTGTATATATTCTTATTACTTATTCTTTTTGATTCTATATTATTCTTTATTCTGTATATATTTTTATGTTACCTAAACCCACAGCAAGCACTGCATGCCTTTATTCACTATTTCCCATCTAAATGTCTCCAATGTTATTTAAATTGATATTTTGTTTTTAAGCTTCTCAGATCTTGAGCAACATTTTCTCAATGACTGATGAACTGATACAGCTTTCATTCATACTTGTAATTCAACCAGTACTTGTTAGCATTTTGCAAGAGTCTTAAAGAGATTTTTTTTAAATTTATACCCATTACATAGTTCACAGTATAAACAAATTTCATGCAATAAATTAGCAGAAGATAATACGTTTTACTATTTTCATCCATTAATGTAAGATATAAATTGGGCAAAATAATTTTCAATATAGAGTAACATTGAGATCTTAGATAATTTTTCTCTAATCTGATTCTGCTGAGAATGCTGCCAACATTTTATTACTTGTGTATCAAAGTCACTTTTGACTGTAATCAAAGTTGAATTTCTATAGATGTAAATATTTCTCTGTAATAATTATTCCTTGATTTAATGAAAAAAAATATTTTGGAATAATAGAAATGATTGTGCTGGACTTGATTACCTGCTCAATGTGGTCATAGCATTTCCCCCCCCCCCTGTTCCCTGAAGAATGGCAGTATTTGTGGTTAATCAAGAGCAGCAAAAATGATATCTGCTGAAGATATTTTATAAGCCTTGATAAGTATGAAAAAATATATACTAATCAAAATTTAATGAGAAAAAAAAGCATTTATTTATGAAGTGGGTTGAGGAAAAGTTCTCATTCCTAACCAATTGCTAAAATTTGACTAAATGAGCAAACTAGATTTTTAAGTCTTTTCTTTTATAGTGAAGAGGAGGGTTAAGACAGCTTATTCTCATAGAATGCAAAAATGCTAAAATCTATTTTGTTTTTATGATTGATGATTATTTGATTTCTATTTCCTTTTCATCCAAAATCTTTTCACAATATGGCTAAATTTAAAAGATTATTATTATTTTTTTAATTTAAAAGAAATTTTTCTTATTCAACTATAAATTACATGTAACTGGTATTCTCTGGACACAATTTTACAAATATCAACCTTGGGAGTGGGGGGGAAAAACACCTTTGAAAAACATTTTCACAATCAATTTTCCTTTTTTGTAGATGGAAGTCCCTTCATGTCACACCTTAAAAATAAAAGTGTTAATCAACATTTTAAAAAGTTAATTGATTAATTAGATATTGCTGATAAATTGATTTTGTCCCCCATGGATTCTTCTAATTTTAAATTTTGACAAAATCTACAGAATCCCCAAACAAAAAAAAAAAGAATTTAACTTTTATTTATCAATTTGTATATAAAAATAAGAGAAATGACTCTAATATTTTTTGTGGCTATCATTTAAACACTTAAATATTTTTAGATTGATTTATATGTATGATATTTTAGTTTATCAAAAAATACTTTTGGAATTATAATCTGTTTTTACTTGATAGATGAAATTAAACTATATATATGAAAGATAAGCACGTGTATCAAAATAGAATATTTTCCCAATGATTTGCAGAAAATTGATTTTCTTATCCACATAAAATATTTTTGTCTATATTTTACCTTTCTATGATTGTATCTTTGAAATTGTTCTCTTTTGAATTTATTGTTTATATTGATGCATTATTTATGTGAATTATTATTATTATATGAAAAATATGTATAAAACATTTAATTTTTCATTTATTTAAATGTTTTCTGTATATAAACATTTGTTTGGTGATGAAATTGCATCTGCTGAAAATAGTGGGGAGGGTACTTTCTTTTTTTAAGTGATTGCCTTCATAACAACACTAACATCTTTGCCATCTCCCCAAAGCTACAGCTTTATCACCTGCTTTTTTTCTTACACTATTGATCACTTGCAAGCAATGATGTTTTAATGACTTTTTGTTTCTTTTTTCTTTGCTTCTTTTATCAACCTTTTCATCTGGACATTAGGATGTGCTTAAAGAAATTTCCAGTTTTTCAAAGCAACTTGTTGTTTTTCACCATAAGTAGTTCTAATTAAATTTACAATATTTTTCCCCCCAACCTAAAGTTTCATACGTAATGTTTACCATGGGGAGAAATATTCACAATAAATGTCTTTCTTCATAATGTCAAAAGTAAATTTAGAGAAACAAATCTTTTTGGTAATGCTCAAACTTCTTTTCGGTGTTAGTATTTTAAGATCAAACTTTGACGACTCAACCACAAAGAAAACTGCTCTTTTTTTTTTTTTTTTTTTTTTTTACTTAGCAATTTGCTAATTCACTTTGAATGTTTTTACATTTTCATAAATAATTTTATACTTTTCATTGTTTCTTAAAGAACAGTCAGGTTGAAAATAGACAGTCCTTTAATTTTATGGTTTAAGAAACCTCTATTTGGGATTTGGTGTTTTTTCAGAAACTAATTGCAACAAGATGATCAACCATAAACTATGATTTTATCTTAACTCTAAACAGCATAGCACCAAAAGTTTAATCTACAACTTCAAGAATATAATGTGTATAAATTGGATATCAACTTCAAAGTTTGATAAATTTTGACAAGTGAAAATCTGTTACAGCTGTCAACAAATTTTCAGATTTTTGTACCACAAATACTATTACCTCTTTTATATGCCATATTCCTTCAGGATATGAGCAATCATGACACTCCACAACTTCCTATACCTCTTCTATTTCAATAAACTGAAAAGATCGAGCATTTAATGACTATTGGTACCGTCAAGATATTTTATTCTTTGTGTTCTTGTGCCTAATTAGGTTTGATTTTTGCAAAAGAGTGAATGACAATTGATAGAAATATGAAAAGTAACTGCTTTGAGCCACATCAGTTTATGGTCATGTATTTTTTTTTTCACTCCCATACAATGCAATAAAGCCACTAAGACACAAGGAGTTACTGGATGTAGAAGAATTAGAAACAGAAACATTAATGAGCAAAAAGTGAAAAGATTAATCTGAACAGCAGCAGATAACAATTAACACTGCATTTAAATTTTTTCAGATTAACATTGACTGGAAAGCATGGAGCTGAAAGGAAGTTGCACAAGTGAGAAGTGTGAGAAAA